AATGAATGGAACAAATGTGACAGAATGGAGCCTGTTCAATTTTGAATGTGGTGAATGTTTTGTATCTTGGCTGCTGATTGTACTGGTTTAATGGTTTTAATATGGTTAGATTTTTAATTTGTTTTTTCTTCGTAATTTTTTAGATTGTTTTTGGAGTTTTAATTGTTGCGAGCCACCCAGAGTCATGAATGTGAAGCGGGTGGCTATACAATTTGAACAAATGAATATTCAGCATGTAGTGGCCAAAAAGCGAACTATAGTTTATTTTCCTTTCAACTTATCTTGCATATCTTAATTCTTGTGTTTAACTTTTGTTACTATAGAAATGATGAATAACCAAGCTCTTGTAGCAAGTACAACTCTAGACTAGCTAAAAACTATTTTTCTACTAAAACAATCTAAAGTTTCTTTTTCAATGACTGCTGACAAGCAATACCTGGATCATTTCCTTCAGTCATTTCCATAGAAGTACCATCCCAGAAAATCATCTCGAGTAAGATCATAATAGGTTATCAAGTTAATTTTTTTAGTTAAAAATACCAGCAATAGAATCAGAATAGTTTTAGTAAGAGGTCTAATATGTCAACAAATAAACACTAAAATATAACAAACAAAATATGAATAGTGAGAAATAGAAGTGTTGACATTCTAAAAATCATACTAATTAACCAGCGTGATGCAGCTTATCTGGAAATAGCCAGTGGAAGCAGATTTGAGTCCTTGAAATTTGGGCCTAATATATGTCACGCCACACAATAAATGTTCAGACATTTTAAAAACTACTCCATTTGTTTATGGGTTATGTACCTATCTCTTGTATGTTGTTAGCTATTTACAAGTAGCACAATTCCCTGCCATTTATGGAGTCTATAACATTTTTAATTGCATTCATTTTATTGAACCCTAATCACACTTGAGTCTAATCTCGCCAAAGAAAATATGACATGTAGAAGAAAATGAAGTCAATTATTTAAAATATTTCCTAATGACCTCTGTGAATTTGTGCTAATGCTTCATATAAATCTATACAATATTTGAACACAAATGCACAGAATGGGAATTATTTTAGACAAATATATAACAAATTATCATCACTTTGACAGATATGTCATGCTTATTCTGATAGAATCAGTTCTAGCTGTGAATTCTTTTACATATTCTGAATTGTTCTTCAAGGCTTTGCCATCACAAAGTGACATATAAACAAGGGAAAAGTGAAGAAACAAAAAATATTAGCAAATCTGCAGTATATATAGAAAAGCTACTCTGACATACATAGGCTCATACATTATCTCAGCTGAGTCTGAACTGAAGAGAAAGGTTTTCAGTTCTGAAGAGTTCATACATAATTATGACATACATAATCTCAGCTGAGTCTGAACTGAAGAGAAAGGTTTTCAGTTCTATATCACTGAACAAAAATGGCAACTTGTAAGATGGAGCCATCCCTGGCTAAATAATAGACACTGTAAATATCTTGGAATTTGTCCCTCAAAATAATAACACCAACAATAAAAAGATACGGAGTAGATAAAATTACCTTTTAAAGCTTTTTGGGATTGTGATTTTAAACATTAACAGGAAGCCTTTTTTAAAAAAAACCAAATACGGGTAGTGTTCAGGTTATGACCAGAATTGCTGTCACTAAGAGACATGGTCGTAAAGCACAATGTCACATGACTGTGCCACTTAGCAACAGCAATTCTGGCAGTCCTGGCTGCCATTACTAAGCAAGGACTATGCGGGTCATTATGTGAGGATCTCATGTGACCGCAACTTCCAAATTCCTGCCAGCTTCCCCATTGACTTTGCTTGTGGGAAGCCGGCAGGGAATGTTGGAAATCATGATCACGTGATCAAGGGGATGCTGCAATGGCCTGAACTCCAAGAATCCAAGTTTGAACGGTCGTTGAACGAGCGGTCATAACCATGAGGACCCCCTGTACTGCTGACAAAGTATTTAAAGTTTGTAAAACAGAACTTTATCTCCTACCTTTGTGGTTTGATCTCTGCTGCCATCATCAACCACTATGACCTCATATGTGAACAAAGGATCTTGTTTCTATAAAAATAAAAATAACCTTTTTTTTCATTTGACAGCATTATATGCTCCTTTACCATAGAAGATAAAAAATGTTATTTTCAAAAATGTTACTGGATTACTGCAAACACATACCTGTCTCTTCTCTAGATAAGCTAGAGCTTCATTCATCATTGATGGTACTGTAAGAATATGTGGAAAAAACAAAACTACAGATCTTGTTTCATTAAAACTACACTGGTGATAAAATAATTTATAAAGAAAAATATAATATTCTATATATAAAGATTTATTCTTACACCGTTCTTCCTCATTATATGAAGGTACTACTACAGAAAGTTCACATGTTGCAGGATCATGAAGGCTAGGCACAGATTCCTTCTTATCATTCAGAAAGAATTTCTCATCCTTGTATCCATAAATGCTTGGCAACCTTCCTGCAGTTATATGTGCAATGACAACAATCTGGGAGGGAAGTAAAAGAGGAGTGGTAGCTGATAGTTCTATAATATAACAATAATGCAATACTATTTTTGCAAGATGAAAAACATTCACTTTTAAATTATTAAGGAGAAGAGGGTATAGTTAAATAAAATTCAGAAAAAGAAGCAAATTGATAATCACAAACTCTAAGATTGTGTGCATTAGGGGAGAATATGCACTAACCAAAATGCAAACACAGAAGAAATTATAGTATTCAACATTTATGTGTAATAAATGAAATGAAGAAGAGAAAAAGAGATATGTTCTACTGTATGTTTATGAAACTAAGAGGAAGAGGAAAGATGTACTAGATCTGAATGAAAGTAATCTGATCTAAATTGTATGTGAAAAAGTATGAATTGGTGTTATTTATTTTGAGCTGCCTAGAGTCACCCTCTGGGGGAGATGGGCGGCATACAAATTTGATAGATAGATAGATAGATAGATAGATAGATAGA